TGGTGGCTGAGCCGGGCTCCCCCTGCGCAGGGATGCTGGGTGAGTTGTCCAAGGCGACTGGGCTAAGCCCCCGGGCTGCTCTGGCAGGGCAGTCGTGGGAGCCACGCCCACTAGGGTTTGATGTGGGTTCATTGACATGCATGGACTTGGCATCCTCAGTTGGTTTACTTCCAGCTCTCATTGGTGTCCTATGCTCTGGGAGATGGGACCCTTGCAGGGTTGGGGCCTTATGTTGTATCATGCAAGCAAGGTAGTAACAAACCTCAGCAGGCCTTTATTTATCAAAGGTGAAACCTCTTGACAAAGCTGCTGCTGCTCCCCCCCTCTGTAGCTCTCACTCAGGCCTGGCCCATCTGTTCCCCCCTCCTTCCTGTTTCCTGTGCTTCCCAACAGCCAGTGCTCCCAGTTCTAATAAATACAAGCAGCATCTAAAAAACCACACCTTAGTCATACAAGACTACCCTGAAAAGTAGAAGCCTATACTTCAGAAGCGATAGTCCAGAGCACTTGATTTATGGAGACAAAAAAAGTTTCAGTCCTGGTCAGCTCAAATACTTTCCTTTCTCTTCACCTTTCAGTACAACAAAATTCCAGTCTGGTGAAACAAAAACACAAATGGACTAATGGAGCAATAAGCGATTAATGATGGCATGGTGTGCTGGCTAGTACTTCATTTTGTTCCCATAATGTCAAAGAAGGTTCAGCTGTACAAACTCATACATGACAGAATTCCTTAACACTTTCAGACTGTAACAAAATATAAATATTGCCAAGATCTATTTGAATTACAGGATGATTGTCAAAAATTGCCATGGAAAATTGTGGGAACGTAATAATGGATCTTCTTATTTGCAGTAATAAAGTCCATTATTACTTTTCCACTGTTGGCTGCCTGGAGTGGAGGGTAGGGGCCTAAGGTTGATGGATAGGAACATGGGGCTTTCACTGTTGATTGCCCGGGGCCTAGGAACAGCACTGTAGCTATGTTGGTGTATCTCCATTATATAGATGCAGCCTGTGCTGACAGATGGAAAAAATCCTTCTATGTTGGAGAAACTGAAGCTAGGGTGATGGAAGCATTTTTCCATCAGTCTACTTGCCTCCATACTCGGGTTTAGGTCTGCTTAATCACATAGCTTGGGGTGTATACGGATTTTTCAAACTTGAGGGACATAACTATATTAATTTAAATTTATAAGTGTAGATGTGGCCTCATTCGTTAGGATGGTCTCAGTTGGATATGCACTCTTTTTGCTTCTGTCAAGCTTGTCTTCTAATTGCATTGTCAAGGCAAATAATCAAGGTTCTATTTCATTTTTTAAAAATTTAACAAACTAGGGAATTCCATAGAAAATCTCCACTGAGAAGAGAGAGCCCTAATCCTGCAAACACTTAAGCATGTGCTTGACTTTAGTAGATGTGCTGGTGCTAAAAATGAAGCATGTTCATAAGTGTTTGCATATGGCAAAGGCTATAGAGAGAAGCATAGATACATTAGGAAATGCCAAAGTTAACGTCACTTAAAGAATGCTGCTGTTGTGTGCATGTGGTGGTTTTCAAACTTTTTCATAACATGACTCAGAAAAGAGTGTCATTGACCACCTTCCCAGCTATTCCCAGTTGCATGGCCCCACTAGCTTGCTGGTTTATGAACAAGTAACATTCCTGTGACAATTACAGCAACAGTTTCCAAACAAAAGTAATATTTAAGAAGTAACTATTGCACTTTTTATTAAATCTAGCATTGAGGAAGGAACAGTCCTCTGCAGGCCCCCAGCAAATGGTTCACAGATGTGTGTTCGGAATCTCTGCAATCTTTACTTATATCATTGCGAACTCATTTTTCTCTAAGGCATTTGCATCATTAATATTTAGATGGAGAGACTGCAGCAAATGAGTTGGTGTGGTACATAGTGAATGAGGTGATGGGACTGGTCATCCCTTCCTCCTCGTAGTTCAGATTCTGTTGAATTACAATAGTGTAAATCTAGATTAAATCTTTTAACAACACCATACATGTACACCAAGTGTACCTGGCTGTGAGTTGAATTGCACATGAGGTACAGTACAGAGGCAGATTTCACTCATTTGAGAGGATAAAACATTTATTCATAAAAATCCAAGTACATTAATGTGCACTGACGAAGTAAAATTTGTCACATTTAGTTGACTGTGTATCCCTCATCTTCATTTCTAATACATTATTTACAAATATGGCACTGCTGCCTTGTTCTCTGTACATGTCTAGTTTGCACACTGAATGAGGCATTGATTCTGTGGAAAAAACAGCATGTGATCATATAGTACAAATAGCATGTTGTAGTGCATACATTCAGTGGTAGACAGTTAACTGTAACTTTAATATTTCTTGACTTCAGAGAATTTGTGCCAACTTCTCAGCTGGTATAAATTGACATACCTCCCCTTTCAAGTCAAAGGAAGGCTGTTGATTTACACCAGTGAAATGTCTGGCACTTTAACTTTGCACACTTGAATAACTTTTTTACCATTATTTGATAATAAAATTTGCACAGCTTCATAAATGTATGTGGTGGTTTACAGAAGATTTAAAGACTAGGACTTACCTTCCCCATGAGCTCACAGTTTAACTCAGACAAATATGATATACAGGTCAAGGGTGAAGAAGCAAGAATGCCTGGACTCAGTGAGGAGTTCAACCTAGAAAATTTTCAGAGAAGTGAGATTGAAAGAGGGATTTGAAGGAGGAGAGAATGGGTACTTGGATATGCAAGAAACTGATCAGATTTCTTCAGCAGAAAATTACAAGTGTTCCAAACTCCAAATAGGGTAGAGGTATCAGAATCCATCAGGTGAAGATGGATGTTATGCTCAACTTGTACAGATATTGTCATGTTAAAGATCATGGTTTTGGTTTGCTTTTTAAAATCTTCCTACAATTAAAAATGAAAACTTTGTAAAAGTTTAATTGCTTTTGGCATTTCACTCAGCAAAGACCATAAAAATAGGTTAGTCAGTTTCGCTACTTGTGTATATTTGTATGGTGTAAAGTCAGCTTTTTGTGTCTACCTCACTGACACAATGCAGCACTGTTTTGGTTTAAAGCTTTGCAGCAGGATGATTATTTGTATAAAAATAACCTTTTTCCAATGGTGTTTTCAATTATTTACATTGGCCTTAAGTGTTGTCAAAACTTAAACCAATTTGAGTAGTTTTTCTGGGAGTAAACTTACTTGGGTAATTGATGGAGTTCATTGTATTGCCATTGCTTGTTTTTATTTTAAAGAAGATAAAATACATAGCAGTTAAATTAATATGTTTGTATGGTTACAAATATTTACCATCAGTTTTTAGTTTCTGAATTGAGTATGGTTTGTAGTACTTTCAGTATTTACTATTCAAATATGGGCACATTAAGACAAGTTAGTGGCAGCTTTCAATATGGAAGAAGTAAATGGGTACTCGAGTATATACAGTGTGATTAATGTTCCATTCTCCGTTGTTTTAGTATGAAATGTACACCATTGAGAGGAATGCTGAGCGGACAGCATCCGCTGGCAGGCTGTTATATGACATGTAAGTAACAGAAATGCTTTTGTGTTGTTATCTTTTGGAATTGTACTGTAAATTTAGCTGAACACAGAACTCTAGAAACGTTCCACTTGTCTTTTTCCATGCTGTATAGCACAGTACTTAGATTTTCAGAGGGGATCTTCAGAGATGCAATACTACTATGTTATTTCTATAGGCAAACTAGACAAATCTTACTAATCTTTTAAAAACAAAATCAGCCATGAAAGCAAAATGTTCACTTGCTTTTCTCCATACAGGTGCCTTCATAGCAAGCTTTCTGTTTTAAACTGAATTTGGGATTTTTTTTACCTGACCCTTTATTCCAGGTTTGTGAATTTTCCAGACCAACCAATGGTATGGCGGGAGATTAATGTTATTACATCAGCATTAAGGAATGACTCGCAGGATAAGCAGACTCAGTTCTTAAGAGGTAAGGACTCTG